AACACCTGTAGAAAAGATTTGGTCCAATCACACACTGATTCCTTGTGACAGTACACATTTCATGTCTATATCAGAGCTCAATCACAGCAGAAAAATAACAGAGGACTACAACTGGCAAGTCTGAATTTAAAGTTGGATTTTTGAAACTATAGCTATTACACTGAAGAAGGGACAGGTCCCAATGTGGCCAAAATATCACATAACACTGGCCTCTTTTGACTAGGGCTAATATGTCACTCCCAGCAACACCCTACTGTGATAAAGACTTCTGCATACCTACGAAAATAAAGGTTTTGTTGCAACTGTGTATAAATATGTTCAGACACCTTTTTACATTCCAGCAACCACACCAGATTTTCAGATCCGTATGCATTCTGCTCGTCAACATCGACAGATATCTTTATCTTTTGAAAATGGAGATATAAAAATAAAATACAAATAAATGAAATTCCTTGTCCTTCTGCTTTTCTCCCTCTCCTTTCTCCTGCATTTGGTAAAATGAAATGGAAATTTTCATTCTGATGTAACTGGAAACAGGGAGCTATTCCAGTGGCAACAAATCCTTGTGTTACAGTTCTGTATCCCTGTGGCAGTAGAGAGAGAGAGAAAGAGATGGAAAAGAGGAGGATAAATGGCTGGAAATCGATAAAGTGCTCCCAAAGCGCATGCTGCTGCCGCTACTAACGTTCCTCTCTCCCTCCCTCTCTTTCGTTCTGTCCTCTGCTCCCAGATGCTCTACATTCTTGATATCAGAATGGAAAAATTTACTGTTAGCCGAGAAGAAATTTAATATGGCCATTCCTGTCATATCCCTCATTGCAGCCATATTCAGCCGGTGCTCTGCTGAAGCCATAAGAGAGACTCAGCACCTGAACGATAAACAATATGGAGCTCAATATGGATCTCATTATGCGCAATAGCATCATTACACCATACACTTGTTTCTGAACAGGGCTTATGGAAATAAGCGTATCCCCACACACACTAATCAAAAAACAATTCCAGTTTCAAGTAGAATACCTGCACAGATAGCTTCATGCATAAAACCTGTCACACACAAATTCATCTTCATTAGAGGAGGCTTATCTGCTAAAGAACTTCTGTCCTAAAAATTTCCCACGTGTCCCTTTTTGTCTCTCTCGAGCCTACATGGCGCTCTTCTCTTTTTAGTGATGCCTTCAGGAGAGTTTTCATAATTGGACGAGCAGGCCAGCCCAGAATAACACTGTAAAAATTAATATGGCTCATAAAAACCTGGTAGGGGGCTATGATGCTCCAATCAAAGGGCAGATTCAAAGTGATCAGGCTAACAGACTGTAGGGAAGGCAGGTGGGAGTGGAGCTCTGAGGACCAAACCACTCACTGAATGAGCTTTCCTTTCACCGCAGCTGAACTGAGAGGGAAAACAATGACAACTGGCTCCTCTGAACAACCACTCATGCTTCTGAAAATAAATAAATGACATTATATAAAAATAATATGAATGTGATAAAAATTAATGAATAAAAATCCAATTTCGCTAAATAAATACAAAGAAACTAATTTATTTTAAATGTATTCATTCATTTTAAATGCATTGCTTGTTTGAAATATTTCAAAAATAATATATTTAAAATAAATAAAATGATAAATAAAAAAATTGAAATTGAATTTAAATTTATTTAAAAATCTATTTGTTTATATTGGTTTATTTTACATACGTAAAATATATAATACAATTAATATAAATACAATACAATAAAATGTATTAAAAGGAAGAAAATCATAATAAATTAATCAAACAAAAAATATCATGATTCATGACTACGTATAACTGTAGTAGACTATGAGTTGAAGTGCACAGGATGATTGAGTTTGCAGTTTAGGCAAAGAGGAATTACAGTAATTTATCATATGACATCAACACCAGATTCTCGTTCTCTCACATACACATTTAACAGGTAGTGGGTGGATGGGTCTGTCAGCACAAGGACACCAAAGGGTAGTGAAATCAAATGCCACCAGGAAGCAAAACACCCACACAAAAAAACAGGATACATATGTTGGGGTAAAAGAACAGCATTTTATGTCCATACAGAGGAACGAGACTAGGACAGAACAGACACCGGGTGATGGAGAGCTTCAATGAGAGAGAACCAGAACAGAAAAAAAACAATAAAGATCCAGAAGAGCCAGAAACAAGCTAATAACTTGGTGGCAATCATCCTTGATCAATTTATAGTGGGCTTTGGTGATTAAATCTCAATTTCCTGCCTTATGAATGAAACATTTAAAGTGTGCAAGTGTGTGTGTGTGTGTGTGTATACACACACACACACGTGTATGAGAGAGAGAGCGAGAGAGAGAGGGGGTTTATGTCAGGTGTCCAACAACAGCATAGCAGCCAATAACACATCAAGAGCAGTGGCATAACGTTCCGGGCACCAGAGCCCTTGTGCACATCTTGACATGAGGTATGTAATGGTTCTAATCTATCAGATCCACAGTGGCTTACTGGGCTTTCAAAGTGTTCATTAAAAACTTGTTGGGCAAGACAGGATCATGCACAGCAGACGTAACCTAACCATACCAAATGTCTCCCAGCAACCTTGTGCTCGTCCATCAGACTTTTATACCCCAACTAGGTATTAGTTTCTAATGGATTACATTCACTTGGTAATCCCTTCTTTATACAGGAAATGAGACGGAGTGAGGGAAGTGGGCAGAGAAAAAAAAAAAAAAAAAAAGAGAAGAGAAGAGAAAGTGTGCATCTGAGTTGCATATTATATAGCAGTATGGACTCCAAACACCAAAAACACTTACATCAAAAAAAAAAAAAAATACTGACCCCAGTTTTTTTTTTAAAGGAAATTACTACTATTATTCTGCAAGGATGCATTAAATTGTTTAAAAGTGACAGAAAAGACATTTATAAATGCTGCTAAAGATTTTCATTTCATATAAATTCTGTTCTTTTGAACACTATTTAAAGAATCTTTAAAATCACGGATCACAGTTTCCAAAAAATATTAAGCAGCACAACAGTTTTCAACATTGATAATAATAAGTACAGTGCACAGCATAAATGAGTAAACCCCCTCTAAAACTTAAATTCAGCAATTACTCTTTACTTAGAAGACATGCTAGGGTTCTTTGGAGATGTAATGTTCCAACAAGTCCGCTTGATCAAGTACCAAAGAAGAATACCAAAATTATTCAGCAAAATAAGATTTTCTTATCAAAGTGATAAAATGTTGTGTTGCAAAAATGAGTACACCCTCCTGAAAGTTACTAAATCAATACAATTAAAAAAAAGAAAAAGTGTATAGGTTTAAGGCTATTTTTGATCAACAGGTAAGTATATTGAACCAAAACTTTTAAAGACAAGTAATTTCCTGACAATTAAAAGTGTTATATAGCCCACTGAATCATACTCTAGACTTAATGCTGGCAGCAGTGGAACCACTTGGGAGAGAACTGCCAGGTGACTTATTTCTTAGCATAAAAGAGAACAATGGTACAAGAGGAATACCAAATTATTGTTTTAAGTGTGAAAATATAGCAGAAGTAGCACCAACATTCAAAAACAATGGACTCTTCACTTTAAGTTTTCATTTAGTGAGGAGTGAATTTTTGCTAGAAAAAGAGCAGGAGAAATAATATGCAAGTGTCTCAGAGCCGGCAAAAGCTGTGAAAAGAGTGACACTATCTCAGAGTATGACGCAGCATGCAGAAGTGACATGCATGGTTGACATGCACTAGAATTACCTACTGTAGCCAAAGCAAAATAAACTAATTTAACCTCTTCCAAGGCCCATATTTACAAAATAGAGACTTCTGGGAATCCATACTCTGGTCTCAAGAGACCAATTCAATCATTTCAGGTCTAACAGCATCCAATATGTTCTGGTGTTGCTACAGGAGTACAGAGAGAAGTTCTTGGTACCCACAGTGACGTTCAGTTGTAGTAAAGCTTTTATATAGGGATGTATGAGTGCTGAAGGTGTGAGCAAGTTGTGCTTTATCAATGCTGGCATGAATTCACACACTACTGTGTGATGTAATACAAAAACTTGAAACCGATGCTACCCTCCCCTCTTTTCAGCATGACAATGAATATATTAATTCTCCCAAGGTGAAAATCCTTCAGTGGACATGTATTTCACTCAATCTTAACACTCTTGAGAAGCTGTGGGGGATTCTGTAGAGACGAGCTGAGCAACACTCCCCATTAAAGATCAGGGCATTTAAGGAGGTCGTCCTCCAGGAGTTAAACAGGACAGATGTGAAAATGTGTCATGAACTTGTACACTCAGTGCCAAGAAGGGTCAGAGCAGTATACTTTAAGTGCTTACGAAGTGACATACTAAGTACTAGAATATTATAAATTTTCTGAATTAAATCTAGGGTGTACTGATTTCTGCAATCCTTCATTTAAACAAAATTGGCTAATTTACTTAACTTACAGAAAATAGTCATATATTTTGTTGTTTTTATTAAGTATTAATAAAGTATTCAAAAGTAATATGTTTAAATTTAGCCATCTTTCCATGAATTATATTAGTGAACATTAAGAAAATACATCTTTTATATTTATTCAGAGGGGGTGTACTCATTTATGCTGTGCACTGTAAATGTTTTTTGTGCACCAAATCAGCATATTAGAAAGATTTCTGAATGAGCATGTGACACTGAAGACTGGAGTAATGGCTGCTGAAAATTCAGCTGTCATCACAGGAATAAATTACATTTTAAAATATATTCAAATAGAAAACAGTTATTTTCAATTGTAATATTTCACAATATTTGCATTTTTACTGTATTTTTGATCAAATAAATGCAATCTTGATAAGCATAAGAGGTTTCTTTTAAAAATATTTAAGTTGAAACACATTAGATGCGTTACTGAAGACACAATTTTACACTTGTTAATCATAAGCTGTCATTTGGCCATACTTGGCTGGTCAAACTAGAAGACCCTTACTGCCATACAATGAGGTATGAGGTGTAAGATGAGGTACCTATCTCACTGCCGGTTCTGGTGGAGAGGGCCGGCATGGTGACTGGCAAATCTGCTTCCTTTCAACTTCACAACGTTACCACAAAAATCCAGCAGCGTTGGGGCTGGCCGACTCGACCCCAGGAAGAGTCTGCAAATCCTTGGTTATGTCATTGGCAAATCTATAAAAGATAATAAAAGACATTTAGGCTATTAGTTGATAAAAAAAAAAAGATTAGGATATATTAAAATACAGAGGTTTAATTTAAGAATGCATGTATAAATAAAAGGTTTAAACAGGACAAGCCCTTCAAACGGAGCTTACGCTGTAATATCTAATGATTTCAAAGATGGAAGATGTGAGGCAAAGGAACAGAGGAAGCAGCAAAGAGACAGAGATACATTAGCCCCAAATGTTCCCGAAATCAATTCCAATTTCTGCTTTTTCCGTCTAGGGCCCTGTGTCTGCCCTGATCCGTGCCGCGGCACCGAAAGCACCTGAAACCTTCATATCACCCCAAAGACCTGTAACCAGTGGCCCGAAAGAACAAATGAAAAACTGGGAGATGGAAAGAGGAAGGTGGGGGCAACCATACTTGCTCTGCCTCTATATAGCTCACACAGTATCAGGTTTGTGGAACAAGAAACCGTATGGAGAGGAGAGAATAAAAAAATTAAAACACCTGATCGCAGTGATCCCTCTCTAGTGCTGGAGATTCAATCATATGCTGCTACGCGATAATCATAAAGAGCACTGCTGCCATCTAGTGGTGACATTACAGCTAATTACAGTTTACAAAGTGCAGCCATCAGGTGGATCTGCAATTTGAACCAAAAAGGACAGAAGAGGAGAATTGAGCATAGAGACTTGTTTAAGAGGTATAGTGATTTTACACACTTATATAAAAAAAACACAGACATGCTCTCCAGGTAACTGGCAAGAACACTGTAGAGATCAGATGCTACACACATCGCAAGCCCCCGCAAGATCAGAGACCGTTCAGAGACAATACACAAAAAAACAAAAACTTGGTCAGTTTGATACATTTCCCTCTCTATTGTTTGTTACATTATCCTTCACTCTCGATTTCCTCTGCAGACCCTTCTGTCGATCTTTCTGTCTCCCTGTAGTCTTGTAACTCCTGCCTGCGACTGGCTCACGGCAGTCGTGCTGTTATTAAACGCATGGCGTGTCATTGGTGTGCACATGCTGTTTTAAGAGCACACGCGCCTCGCTATTCCAATGTGCACAAGTGTGTTTATATGTCTGTAAACTTCATACAGTGAAAAAAGAAAAAGAAAAAGAAAAACTTTAGTCTTCCAGTCAATAAACACTTGGACTAATATTAATGCCGTGCTGCTTCTGACAGAATGAGCAAACCACTAACACACTTTTGCACTTAAACACAAGTCAAGGGCTAGGTGAGGATGAGGGGACTTATCACAAAGACACAGACATGCTCTCCAGGTAACTGGCAAGAACACTGTAGAGATCAGATGCTACACACATCGCAAGCCCCCGCAAGATCAGAGACAGTTCAGAGACAATACACAAAAAAACAAAAACTTGGTCAGTTTGATACATTTCCCTCTCTATTGTTTGTTACATTATCCTTCACTCTCGATTTCCTCTGCAGACCCTTCTGTCGATCTTTCTGTCTCCCTGTAGTCTTGTAACTCCTGCCTGCGACTGGCTCACGGCAGTCGTGCTGTTATTAAACGCATGGCGTGTCATTGGTGTGCACATGCTGTTTTAAGAGCACACGCGCCTCGCTATTCCAATGTGCACAAGTGTGTTTATATGTCTGTAAACTTCATACAGTGAAAAAAGAAAAAGAAAAAGAAAAACTTTAGTCTTCCAGTCAATAAACACTTGGACTAATATTAATGCCGTGCTGCTTCTGACAGAATGAGCAAACCACTAACACACTTTTGCACTTAAACACAAGTCAAGGGCTAGGTGAGGATGAGGGGACTTATCACAAAGTAGAAACTACATCAAACTATTAAGTTCAATATATATTAACAATATTTTTATTTTAAAGAATTTTTCCAAGTTCAATACAAGTTAACCTGTACCAATAGCAATTGCCACAATGAAAAAATACACACAACTATCAAAAATAAATAATAGTATGGCACTTACACTGGTCGTAAATTTCAAAGACTTTAAAGCAGAAATGTGAAAATATGCGAGTATGTGAGTATGTGTGAATATTATTTACAGTTTTAGTGTTTATGGCACTGCACTGTCATAGACACAGAAAAGGTTAGCATGCATCTTGTACTATTAAAACAGCACCCCTGCTCTGAGTTACAAGTCTATTTATTTATTTTTTGTGGCAAACAAGATTATGCCAAAAATGCTTTCAATTGAGCTTAACTTGTATTGAACCCAGAGCATTAATGGGTTATACATAGGGCTGGGCGATATAGCTAAAAAATTTATCAACGATATAATTTCATATCGTTCGGTATCGATAATTACCGTATTGGCCCGAATATAAGACGACCCCCCTTTTTCCAGATGTACCTTTTGGAAAAAGGCTTTTTAAAAACCAAATTTTTTTTTTCTCAGTAAAACACATTTTGTCTTCAATTATTATCATATTGCATATTTGTCCCCTTTTAATTTTTGTTTTGAAAGTATGGTAAAAACTGGTAAAATGTACCAACAATCACATTTTAAAAAAATATACACTTTTTGATATACCATAAAAGAAAAAAAAAGGTAGCCCATCTGAATTAGGAAATTTAGGCTATCCATCTAATAGTAGCCTACCAAAATCTTATTAACAGTAGAAATTAAATCTTACTGTAGTCTTCAAATCTGGGTACTGTCTTACGTTTTAAAATCACAAAGGGAGTTTGGTCCCATCAGGCTAACGTGACAGTCACGACTCTGCAGCTGTAAGCTTTTCTTTCCCTTTTGTTTTTACTCGCGATCTTTACAACACGCATAACATTACGTATTTCATGGCACACTCGTTTTATGCGTATTTGGCGTCACCTATTGTTGTGGGTGTATTATTGACATGTCAAAATCTAGACCCTGAATATAAGACGACCGCGTTTTTTCAGATGTATTTCCAAGAAAAAAACATCGTCTTATATTCGGGACAATACGGTACTGACATTTTTTATAACCTTTTTTAAAACCGAGCAATCGAACTTTTTTTTTTACAATTAACCACTGTATTTTTAAATTAACTACAGTTGAGACAAACAACAAATATTTTTGTTTTAACAGTCAAACACCATATACAAATTAAACAAATCTAATTTCTAATGTTTTATATGCAGATTAAATAGGTTAAACTTTTGGCTTGTTTCCCGAGGCCACAGGAGGGCACAATGAGCAAAATAATGCTGCACATTAAACAGTCCAGGCATGGAAATAACTGTCTATAAAAAAAAAAACGTGCATTACGTCTAAATTAACTCCTATATATCAAATATAATGTCATAAATTGCATAAATTATGAAAAAAAAAACGCATCATGCATTTATGCATTGCTTAATCCAAAGAGCCGAATCGCCCATCACACAGATTGCCTTTAAAAACATATGAGACGCAGTGAAAAGGAATAAACCTCCACAAATTCGTGACGTGATTTCTAAAAGTTTAAACTGTTTTAACTTTGCATGGCTTTCTATAAATCTCGTGTGACGCGAGTGCAGCAGTTATATTTGTCCGTCTAGAAAATGCGCTGAATATGCGTCCTGTGTGAATGTCACTTACATCATCATCAACGCATCTCGTGCTCCACTGATGACGCTCCCTGACGCACACCTAACATTCATTGTAATATTTTTGCCTTCAAATGCAAATGTTTATTTTAAATTCGACCAATATTCTTTTGTTTTTTTTTATTCACAATCTCCTCATCACAGGCAGGCAAAGCACTCATGTTCGTGTGTGCTGTCTGCGTCACTCATAGCACGTGCCTATATCGTGCACTATCAAATTTTTTTTTAATATCGTTAAAGAAGGTGTACCGATAAATATCGATACCGTTTTATCGCCCAGGCCTAGTTATACATATGGCAAAAGAGAAATTGTCATTTTGCCTTTAAGGCTACATTTATTACTGGCATGCAGCTGTACAGTTTAAGCCATTCTCCACAGACCACAAGAGAAATGTCAGGACTTTATCAGTCATTAAAAAAAATGAGTAATTATTTTAGGTAATTGATATGGGCTCTAATATACTTGAACATCACTGCTTCATAGAGAATATGTGAATCACTAAATCAAGGGCACCAGGAGATCATTGAATCATCTGCAGGTGCATTAAGAGTCTTTTAGATCAGTAAATCAAGAGAATTACAGCATTTATGCTGAGCTGAATGAGCCTCTAAAGCTCTAAAGATGATGTACTGGAAAAATGAATTATGACGAAGGGCTACTGGAAACGTGTGCAACGTCAGTGCTGTAATAAGAGCAGGTAAGGGCTAAATTCATTGGTTGCATTTTTTACTGCTGAAATGTCATCTGAATGGACCCATATATTGTGTATATTCTGCATTTTGTGGGATGTATATTTAGAACTTAAACCTTGTTTTTTTTATGTTTTTCACACATAACCTTTCTCACGGTTTATCTCATGCTCACACACATCAGGTTTTCTGAAATTAAGGTCATAAAGGCCTAGTAGAACTTTATCCATAAAACACACATACCTGTTTTATATGGAAAACTACAAAACGCTTCCCTGACTTCATACAATGAACCATTGGGAACACAATAAATTGCCACGTTCCAGTAACGCATCATAAGGCACTCTGACTGTGAGTGTGTCTGCTAAAACTATAATAAAATGAAGTCACTTGGATAGGAGCTTATCTGTTGCTATGTTGGGCTCAAGGGGTCAGTAGTTGGCTGGTTGTATTCGGCAGTTATCCCCTGCTGGAAGATCTTACACCATTATGCTGGCAAACAGCATATTTAACTATTGACATATCAAAAGTATGAGCGTATTCTGATCAAACCATTTCTATAAGAAGTATATAAATGGGGGGGGGGGGAATCATTAAGTGGATGTATAATCAGTTTTTTTTGTAGATTTTAACAGACTTGTATCTTTGCTTGTCTGCTGGAGTGGGTTCATATGCATGAGGTCGAGGTTTGTCTGGTTAGCATGGCCCTATTAAACATCTTTCTCATCTTTATTATTGGGCA